TGCGAGCTAACCTTACTGTCGTCTCACATCTAATCCCCTGTCAACAACTAAATGCTAATGTGATGACACATTTATCAAAATATCCTAGCATTCGCCATTAAACGCCACGTTGTGTTTTGGTGAGTCAAGCTAATCGAAATAACATATGAGGTCATTACAAACCTGACATTTTACCTGAAGTGGTCGGAGTTTTAGTATTTAAGAAGAAGCCGAATTGTAAAATACAATGTCATTTTTCTGACAACGGAAGTAAAACGTTTGAAAGCTTGTATAACTTTCCCATTACACAGAAAAGCGTAAATTTGTTAGTTTTTGTTAAGGGGTTCCACCAACCGAGCCGCCGTAGGGCTGCACTCACTAGTAGCGCTAAGCTAATCGGCTAACCGTCTAATTAGGTCATAACACATCAGAAATCTAGCTGGATGCTACAAACAGAGACGATTTATCAACCATAGCCTGTTTTATGACAGTCGTGCACAAGTTTTCCTCACATTATCGGCGTTGTTTGTCAAGTAGACAGCAGATTGGGTTGTTTTTGTGTATTATTCGTGCCAATTACAGCACCGATGTGCGCTAAATAAACTGATATAATCTCATTTACTTATTCGAGCATGCTGTGATGAGCAGGATGAAATAAACATGGTTGGGTTTTGGGGGGGTTTGCTGGCTGGTGATGCAGCCAAATGTCAGAATAAACAAAGCTGCGTTTGTCAGGCACCTGAGCACCATCCATCCGTCCCAAAACATCCCATTTACGGGCTCTGGGACCTGAAACCAGCCCTGGAGCTCCAGGGGAATTCAACCAGCAGCATCTGGGCCCAAAAGTCTCTAAGACAGTAGGCCAGAACCCCCCCTGCCCCCTTAAACAAGCTGGACCAGCCACCAGTCTCCAGAGAAATGATTTACCTAATAATTTAGCTTTTTTTAAAAAGCATTCATCCCAAAATACAGCCTGTTTCTTTAATCTACAGAGCCCTTTACAGATAGATCCTCTCATTAAACTAGTAATTTATTCATGTATTTAAAGGCCTGGCTGTAAAAAATGATGGACAGTATACCTAAATATTTGTCATTATTAAGTTATTTCTAAGTTATTTTAGATCTTAGACACTTTGCTTTTGTTGTAAACGTTTTTCTTTCATGGTGTGACTAAAAGTCAAGAACAGGTATTTTTGGTTTAACACAAAAAAAGCGTATTTACTGTTTTCTTTCTAGGCCACTAGACTGTTTCTTGAATGAGGAAACACTTTAATCTACAGAGCCCTTTACAGATAGATCCTCTCATTAAGATAGTAATTTATTTATCTATTTAAAGGCCTGACTGTAACAAATTATGCACAGTATACCTAAATATTTGTCATTATTCTGTTATTTACAAGTTATTTTAGACTTTAGATAAGTCCAGAACAGGGTTTGTGTTGTTTCAACACTATTTTCTGTTTAACACATAAAAAAGCACATTTGCTGTTTTCTTTCTAGGCCACTAGACTCTATTTCTTGGATGAGGAAACACTTTAATCTACAGAGCCCTTTACAGATAGATCCTCTCATTACACTAGTCATTTATTCATGCATTTAAAGGCCTGACTGTAAAAAAAATCTGCAAATTTTACATGATGAGACTTAAATATTTGTCATTATTCGGTTATTCCTAAGTTATTTTAGACTTTGGATGCTTTGCTTTTGTTGTAATCGTTCCTCCTTCATGGTGAGACTAAAAGTCCAGAACAGGGTTTGTGTTGTTTCAACACTATTTTCTGTTTAATACACACAAAAAAAGCACATTTACTGTTTTCTTTCTAGGCCACTAGACTCTGTTTCTTGAATGAGGAAACACTTTAATCTACAGAGCCCTTTACAGATAGATCCTCTCATTAAAATAGTATTTATTAATCTATTTAAAGGCCTGACTGTAACAAATGATGCACAGTATACCTAAATATTTGTCATTATTCAGTTATTTCTAAGTTATTTTAGACTTTGGATGCTTTGCTTTTGTTGTAAACGTTCCTCTTTCATGGTATGACTAAAAGTCCAGAACAGGGTTTGTGTTGTTTCAACACTATTTTCTTTTTAAAACAAAAAAAAGCGTATTTACTACTTTCTTTCTAGGCCAATAGACTCTGTTTCTTGAATGAGGGAAACACTTTAATCTACAGAACCCTT